GGAGGAATCTATAAATTGAGGAAGGCAGGAGGGAAAACCAAGCAGAGAAGCAGCCCGAGAGAAGTGACTGGTTCTTCAAGGGGGCCACAGTGCTGGTGACCCCAGTGCTTCATAACTAGGTGACCAACTGTCCCTATTTCAGCACTGAAAAATCCTGTGTCCCAGGAAATTCCTTAGTCTTGGGTAAACTCTCTGTGGGGGTCAGTTGGTCACCTTTCGGAACTATGTACAAGGAAGCTGCAAACTCTGTGTCATTAGACTGGTGAGGGGTTTCGCTGCATGCTCAGGTGAAGCCGCCAGTGGTGAATGATTTCTAAAAGGCCACACAGCTCCTCAGGGGCAAAGCCAGTGTAACGCATGGGTCTCAGCTCTCTGTTCAAAAGTCATCAGCTTGCTTGTGATACGAAAATGTAGGAACATTGGGAAGGTGCCCTCCTGCTGCTAGAAAAAAAAGTAAACCCAAAACTTCAATGGTTATTTTTTCAAAATAACAGGCTCTGTGAACGCATTTATTTGGCTCAAGTTTTAATTTTCTCATCAAATGCAGTTGTCCCTGAAAGAACTGAAACACTGAGTCTACCGGTCATTTATTAGTATAAAATACTTTACAACGCCTTTCCTAAGAACACAGTTTGGTTCTAAAAAGGATAGAGATAGGAGAATTCTCGGTGCAAGGGTGACGGGCTACCACTCAGGAAGAAAAAGCACAAAAACTTGACAGAATCAGGAACAAGAGATGAAATTCCTTGACTTAGAGTTGTGTATAGAGTTGTGTTAGTGTGTGACTGTATAGAAGCGGAGCTTTAGAGGGCTAAGAGTGAAGAAATTATTCTCTTTCCTTTATGTAGCTAGCGTTAAGGAAAAGGTTGGGCTTTGCACTATTTGCTATTGATTTTATACTTCATATACTCCTGTTGTTTCTGATTTATTTATAAGATATCCCCATGTTAGTTATATATTGCTTCTTGTTTTAGTCCTTGCTGCTATTGAATAACGTAACCACGATCAGCTTTTGTTTTACATTACCCTGGAGAAGCTAGATGGAATGCCTGCTTATAGATAATATCACTGCTCTTTTTTCATACACTGCCTTTCTATTGAATAACTTCCAACGTGTTGTGACATTTTGCTTCTTAATATTTATTAAATGCCCAATAGTATGCTTGGTGCTGTTGAAAGAATACAAAAGATAATTCTCGTCAATAAGGAACATGCATATTAATAGATGAGAGACATAAACATGCTTTTATATATATATATTCCTAGAAGGTGATAGATTATTTTGTTTAGATGGGGCAGAATAATTGAACTAAGGCACTTTACTCTTTAACTGTTGTCTTGCAAGCAAAATGAAACAAAATAAAGGGTAGAGATGTCTCAACCCACAACCTTCAGAACATTGGAAGAGTTGGTACTGCAGTTAAGGTAGAACTAAACCATTTTTGCTGAAATCAGCCTTGATGTGATAATTCTTTGATACTCATACTAGAGATTTTGAGCTGCATGTAGCTCTACTGTATGTGGTTTTAGTAATTTAAGTATTCTGATATTTATTTATTTATGTATTTATTTTATTTATTTATTTTTGAGACAGAGTCTTGCTCTGTCGCCAGGCTGGAGTGCAGTGACATGATCTCGGCTCACTGCAACCTCTGCCTCCCTGGTTCAAGCAATTCTCCTGCCTCAGCCTCCCGAGTAGCTGGGACTACAGGCGTGTGCCACCATGCCCAGCTAATTTTTGTATTTTTAGTAGAGATGGAGTTTCACCATGTTGGCCAGGATGGTCTTGATCTCTTCACCTCATAATCCCCCCACCTCAGCCTCCCAAAGTGCTGGGATTACAGGCGTGAGCCACCGCACTCGGCTGGATTCTGATTTTTGGGCCATTCATTCAGCAGTCTTTAGTGAGATTCTATCCTATGTTGAGCCATGCACTAGGAGCTGGGAATAAAATGGTTGAGCAAACAGATGTGCTCCTGTCTCAATAGAACATATGGGTTGATGGGGACACAGGCATTAAACCAGTAATTGTACTAATTAAGGTATAACTAGAGGTGCATATTCTTTTGATTCTATTAATATGCGATGGTATAATTAATGACGCTGACCTCGCCTGGGGAGTTTTGGAAGACTTCCTACTTGAGATGAGACTCAAAGTATGAGGAAGAGGAGTTCAGTCGGAGAGAGTGGAAGTAGGGGAGGTGCTACAGGTGGAGGGAGCAATGAGCGTGACACAGTCAAGGAATGGAAGGAAGTCCAGCATAGCCAGTGTATTAGTCCATTTTCATGGTGCCAATAAAGACATACCCAAGACTCGGCAATTTACCAAGGAAAGAGGTTTAATGGACTTACAGTTCCATGTGGCTGGGGAGGCCCCACAATCATAGAGGAAGGTGAAAGGCATGTCTCACATGGCAGCAGACAAGAGAAGAGAATGAGGGCCAAGCGAAAGGGGTTTCCCCTTATAAAACCGTCAGCTCTTTTTTTTTTTTTCCCGTCAGAGTCTCGCTCTGTTGCCCAGGCTGGAGTGCAGTGGCACGATCTTGGCTTACTGCAACCTCTACCTCCCAGGTTCAAGTGATTCTTCTGCCTCAGCCTCCTGAGTAGCTGGAATTACAGGCATGTGCTACCATGCCCAACTAATTTTTGTATTTTTAGCAGAAACAGGGTTTCACCATGTTGGGCAGGCTGGTCTCGAACTTCTGACCTCGAGTGATCCGCCTATTTTGGTCTCCCAAAGTGCTGGGATTATAGGTATGAGCCACCATGCCAGCTGATCTCTTGAGACTTATTAACTACCATGAGAACAGTATGGGGGAACCCACCCCATGATTCAGTTATCTCCCACTGGGTCCCTCCCGCAACATGCGGAATTTATGGGAGCTACAATTCAAGATGAGATTTGGGTGGGGACGCAGCCAAACAATATCAGCCAGAGTACAGAGAGAACGCTGGTAAGTGTGATTTGAGGTGAGGCCAGAGAGAGGCTGGGCCAGACCACGCAGGCCCCTAGGTCAGAGGAGGAGAATGGTCTATTCAGTGAGTTAGATGAAGCGTATGGAATAGTTCCTGGCACAGTGTGAATAAAAGTTTAATACAATATTGTTATTCTGATTTACTTTTTAAAACTATATTATGAAATATTATTAATTGTTGACTAATACTATTTATTTTAAGGGCAAAGGGAATCCACTAAAGGATTTTAGGCAGGGGTAGGATATAGAACACAGCCGGATTTGTATTTTGAAAGCTTCATTCCAGCTACTGTGTAGAAAACATATGAGAGGGGGGTTGTTCTGTGAGGATCTATCTTCCTCATGGAGATTCTGTTTCTTTCCATGAGAACTACTGTATTTACCAAAGAGAGCTCTTGACAGAAGTTACAGGCGATGAAAACTCTAAGCTTCTTGGGATTTTAAGGTTTTCTTGTAAAGGATTATGCAACCACTCCTGAATTCTACCCTTAGTCCTCTGGAATCTTAAAATGGGCCTGTAAATCCCTCCTTAAAACACTTCTGGAGGCTGGGGCTGGCATCTGTGCCCTCTTCCTCATTGTTCACTGCTGCTTCAGAGTCCAGGATCATTGAGATGAGAAGCTTCCCCGCCTGCATTCCCCACTTGTTTTCAGAGTCCAGGATTTCATCTGTGTAGGTCAGAGCAGTTTCCACTTGAATAAAAAATGTGAGACTTAGACTTTCTTTCAAATCTTAATGATGAGACATTTAATTACTGTGTAAAGCCCTAGTGAGGACATGATTTCTAAATAGCACAGAAATCGAGTGGGATGATGGTTGAGAACGTGATGAAAAGAAGGGAATGAGAAATGAAGCTTTTATCTGGAAAAATTAACCTGGGCCAAGACTTTTTTTTTTTTTTTTTTTTAAAATTAGGAAAGTTGAACTTTTGACTTGTCCCAATTGGAAAACTTCCTGATGATAGTCATTATTTTAGGGCAGAGCCATGGATGTCCTGGAGAAACAGCTACTATAGTATTTGCCCAAAGCATGTGAGCGTCAAAGAATGGAATCTGGGCGCTGCAGTGGTCTTGGAAATTAACTAGCCCAAAGTCCAATTTTATAGAACAGGAAACAGAGACTTAGTGTATGTTGTTTAGCTCTGGTGAGTGTCAGCTGGAATTAGAACCTCGCGAGCTCTTCTGTCTTCAATGCGTGGTTCAGTTTTCATTCTGTGATCTACATTTTATAATTTGCTGAGAAAATATGGTTGGTTGAGGTTTTGCTCGTTTGCTTTTTCAAAGTGGACAGGGGCTCATTTTCAAAGCCATCCTAAACAGAGCTACCTGAGGAAAGGTGTATGTAAATGGGAGGACTGGAATGTTGAAGAAATGGGTAAGATAAAGTAGAACCAACTGTCTTTATACAGGAAACTTAGCTGATTGGTAGGGTGTATGATTTTTGTCTCGTTTTAGAAATTGCGATTTTACTTTTAGTTTTGCAATAAATGAATAAGAGCTCTATATTTATACTCTCTACAGAAGTCAGAAACAAACCGAGTCATGTTATCTTTGTGAATGATCAATTGCTTAAGACATATTTCAAATTAGCTATATAAATAATCTATCAAGGTCCTTCATTGTACATTTCTCAGAGCAAACAAAATGCAATGTGTTTTTATAACTAGATAGCTATTTGATTTTTTTCCCCCTCTTTCCCACATTTGGGTATAGATTGATATAGAATTACTTAAAATGCTGCATATAAATTAAACATTAAAAGGAGATTGGAGAGGCTAAGCTGCCCCATTATAATCTTTAGTTCCGCAGTCACTGCCTCAAGGACACTCCATTTCATATCACATGTCCTTCTTTAGAAAAGTGATCACCAAGGTTCAGGTAACATTTAAGCACAGCCAGCAGCTGCATAATTTATGGACCTTTTTCGTTTTGTGTTCCTTTTTAAATGAAAAACAGGAAAACAGAAGATGTTTGTCATGCATTAATGTCTTTCTTTTGTTCTTTCCTTCCCACCCTTCCTTTGCAGATAGGGGCCCTGAAGGACTACTACCACTTCTACCATAGCAGGACGATTAAAAGGTCAGTTATCTCAAGCAGAGGGAACCACAGTTTCATTTCAATGGAACCAAAGGTAAGAAGAACCAGTTGGGTGGGGACCAAGAAGCAAAGCTTCTGCATTTTTCATTGGTGATAACACACTAGGAGCTGATGACCAGCATGAAGACTCAGATTTCTAGAACTGTCATATTATCCTTTGGTCTAGTGTCTTTGCTTCCTCTTTAGACAAAAATAGGCAGTGGCTTGATTTTTATTGAAATCCCAGTTGTAGAGCAGCCCAGGGGTATCCATAGCTACGGGTTCTCACAGAGAAGTGAGAGGGCCTAGGGACTGGGGAAGACAGTTTGATTGAGAACAGCTGAACTGTAACAATACCATGCTGTCTGCCTATTTGCATACAGATCTGAGGTTGTATGAGCTCCACAAAAGGAGGGTTTTCTTCCAGAATCCTTAGGTCGGGGGTACAGATCACCGTGAATCCTCGTGATTTTACTTGGCATTGATAGACCCACACCATTGGCAGCTTCAGGACTAGACTGTGTCTGGAACAGGTGGGATACTGAGCCCAGAAAGGAGAGAAGCTGACTCCTGCTCTTGGGGCCTCATCAGGTATCTTTCTTGCGCCAAGTCCTTTTGGGTTTTGCAGACAACATAGCCCTGGGAGAGCCTAGAAGCAAGCATGCTATGCATAGGTTCTCCCGTTTTAGAGAAGTGGGGCAGCATTGAAATGGGAGATGGGAAGCTGAGGGTTGTTAGGGACAAACTAATAGCCGACAACTAAGACTCTGAGGTCGAGTTAAGTATCTGCCCTTATTCATTAAGTTGGAGGAAGGAATGGAGTTTTGACTGAGAACTAATTGGCCTCTCTGACGTGTCAAGTAAAGGGGAAGAGGGCGCAGCTGTACCAACTTGCCCTAGTTCCTCAGTGGGCTCCTGATTGTGTATTCCTGATTGTAGGGTGGTGTTGCTTTTTTCCCCTCCTTATGATTTGGGTTTGCCCTAAGAACTCATTTTCAAATAAACTGGTAGATAAGTCCCTACCAGTGTGCATAGCAATCTCATCTAGATATCCTCGAAAATTATATTCCTTATAAAGCAAAAAGGCCCCTGGAATTAATATGCAAATGAGGTTTGCAATATTGCGTCTTGCCCTCAGTTATGTGCTGTAGTTAGCCTTGTTTAATTTTTTTCTGGAATATTATGACACAGTGTTCGTGATTGTGAAATTGTAACTTGGCTAGAAAAAGCACATCTCTTCTGTGTCCCTATTTTCTGTGGGTTATAGGAACATCCCCTAATACATTTTCATGGTCTGTGGATTACATGTTTTTTCCTTTGTCACTATTCAGAATTGAAGTTTTCTGGAGAGGCAATCAGTTTGGGACATTCATGAATTAGCTGCATTTTCAAAGCAAAGTCTTATTTTTCAACTCTTAAACTTTTTTGAAGTTTTTCTTGAACTTTGATAATTAAAATGATGCTAATTTCAGACCTCATGTACAAAATCAATGTGAATTTGATAAACTAAGTACTCATGGTTTGGGAAGTAAAATGTTATGAGGCATTATTTTCATGATAAAGGATTTACTGAACGTGAAACTATTTCGATCCTTCTTGTTATCTTGGTGCATCTTGGTGTTTATTTCTTCTTATCTCAGTGCATCACATGGCTTATGCGTGATCTGACAGAGACCTTGTATGGTAGGACATGTGGTACCTGGAATGCACTCCTATTTCAGGAGAGCAGGGCCATTGCAGGCCAGCCCAAGAGTACATGCTGCACTCCCCTGCCTCCTCAACAAAAATAATCCCTTAGAGTAGAGCCACAACTTACTCTCCATTCCAATGCCGTCTGCTCATCATTCCCGGCTAACATTTACACAAGACAGCCACGGTTCCTACCAGCTCTGCAGAGGGAGAGCCACAAATTGGGGATTGCCCACTCTTTTGGATCTTTCTTGTAGTTCATTTACTCATTGGCCCTTTTGCGAGCCCCTAGCAGATGTCAGGCCCTGTGTTAGGCTCTGGGGTTTGGAGATACACTAATGCCCGAAGGGAACTTGATGCTTTCAGGGAAGACCACCCAGAGCATTGCAATGCTTCTCAGTGTTGGGGGTGGGGGGAGCAAAGGACATTGGGAGTTCCTGCTTTTTTTTTTTTGAGACGGAGTCTCACTCTTACTGCCTAGGCTGGAGTGCAATGGCGCAATCTCAGCTCACTGCAACCTCCAACTCCCAGGTTCAAGTGATTCTCTTGCCTCAGCCTCCTGAGTAGCTGGGATTACAGGTACCCACCACTACCCCTGGCTAAGTTTTGTATTTTTAGTAGAGATGGGGTTTCACCATGTTGATCTTGAACTCCTGACCTCCAGCGATCTGCCCACCTCAGCCTCCCAAAGTGCTGGGATTACAGCCGTGAGCCACCGTGCCTGGCCTTGTGTTTTTTGTTTGTTTGCTTTAATTTTTTTTTTTTTTTTTGAGACAGAGTCTTGCTCTGTCGCCCAGGCTGGGGTGCAGTGGCCGGATCTCAGCTCACTGCAAGCTCCGCCTCCCGGGTTTAGACCATTCTCCTGCCTCAGCCTCCCGAGTAGCTGGGACTACAGGCGCCCGCCACCTCGCCCGGCTAGTTTTTTTTTGTATTTTTTAGTAGAGACGGGGTTTCACCGTGTTAGCCAGGATGGTCTCGATCTCCTGACCTCGTGATCCGCCCGTCTCGGCCTCCCAAAGTGCTGGGATTACAGGCTTGAGCCACCGCGCCCGGCCTGTTTGCTTTAATTTTAAGAAACTTTTTGTTTACAGAGAATGTGCAAACATGAAAATGTTACAAAGAATTTCTATATACTCTTCCTAGATCCCCCAAATGTTAATGCTTTACATTTTACTACAATTAGTTGATCATTCTATATACACACACATATACACACATATTTTTTATTTTTATTTTATTTTATTTTTGAGATGGAGTCTCGCTCTGTCACCTAGGCTGGAGTGCAGTGGCACAATCTTGGCTCACTGCAACCTCCATCTCCTGTGTTCAAGCAATTCTCTTATCTCAGCCTCCTGAGTAGCTGAGACTACAGGTATGTGCCACCATGCCTGGCAATTTTTTGCATTTTTAATAGAGACGGGGTTTCACTGTGTTAGCCAGTACGGTCTTGATCTCTTGTCCTCGTGATCCACCTACCTCGGCCTCCCAAAGTGCTGGGATTACAGGAGTTAGCCACTGTACCCGGCTGATATACACACATATATGTATGTAATGTATGCATATATATAAATTTTCTGAACATTTGGGATCAAGTTACAGATATGATGCACCTTCAATTCTAAATACTTCACTGTGTAGTTATTTAAAATAGGGACATTCTGTTTTATAACCGTAAGTATAACAATAGATATCTGGCTATTAATATTAATTTAATATTATCTACAGACTTTATCCAAATTTTTTGATTGCCTCTGGGGCCAGGATCACATTTAGTTGTCATGTTTCCCAGGTCCTCTTTGCTCTGTCATATTTCTTCAGCTTTCTTTTTTTTTTCTTTCATAAGCTAGAAATCATTTAAAGAGTACAAGCCGGTTATTTTGTAGAATATTTCTGAAGTTGTGTTTGTCTGTTTCCTCATGATTAGATTGAGGTTTGGCAAAAACATTTTTGGCAAGAATATCAGAGAAGCGATGTGTTCTTCTCAGTGCATCAGATTGAGAGGCATGGGATACTGCTTTGTTTCATTACTGGTGGTGTTAACTTTGAACACATGGTAAATATCGTATCTGCCAGTTTCTCTACTTTAACATTACTACCGGCATACCTCAGAGACAGTGCAGTTTGGTTCCAGACCTCCTCAATAAAGCAAATATTGTAATAAAGCAAGTCACACAAATTGTTTTCCAAAGCATATAAAAGTTATACTATCCTATAGTCTATTAAGTGTGTAATAGCATTATGTCTGAAAAATGTGTATACCTTTATTAAAAAATATTTTATTGCTGAAATATCCTAATGATCTTGTGAGTCTTCAGTGAGCCATGATCCTTCTGCTGGTGGAGGGTTTTGCCTCAGTGTTGATGGCTGCTGACTGCTCAGGCTGGTGTTGCTGAAGGTTGGGGTGGCTGTGGCAACTTCCTAAAATCCAACAATAATGAAATTTACCATGTCAGTTGACTCTGTGTTTGCCAACACAGTTGATTTCCCCGTAACTACGGGGAAATCACCAAAGATTTCCCTGTAGCGTGCAATGCTGTTTGATAGCATTTTACCCACAGTAGAACTTCTTTCAAAATTGGAGTCAATCTTCTGAAACACTGCCACTGCTTTATCAACTAAGTTTATGTCATATTCCAAATTCTCTGTTGTCATTTCAACAATGTTCACAGCATCTTCACCAGTAGATTCCACTTTCTTTGCTCAACCATAGGAAGCAATTCCTTACCTGTTCACGTTTTATCATGAGATTGTAGCAATTCAGTCACATCTTCAGGCTCCACTTCTAATTCTAATTCTCTTGGTGTTTCTATCACATATCACATCTGTAGTGACTTTCTCCACTGAAGTCTTGCATTCCTTAAAGTCATCCATGAAGGTTGGAATAAACTTCCTCCAAACGCCTGCTAATATTGCTATTTTGACCTCCCCTTATGAATCAAGAACATTCTTAATAGCATCTAGAATGGTGAATGCTTTCCAGAAAGTTTTCAGTTTACTTTTCCAGATCCAATAGAGGAAACACTATCTATCAGAGCGGTAGTCTTATAAAATCTATTTCTTAAACACATTTGAAAGTAGAAATTACTCCTTAATCCATGGACTGCAGAATGATATCGTGTTAGCAGGCGTGAGAACAGTAATCTCCTTGTAAATTCTGTCCACGCTCTTGAGTGGCTGGGTACATTGTCAGTGATCAGTAATAGTTTGAAAGGAACCTTTTTTTAGTGATAGGTCTCAACAGTTGACTGAAAATATTCAGTAAACTATGCTGTAAACAGTTGTGTTGTCATCCAGGCTTTGTTGTTCCACTTATGGAGCACAGGCAGAGTAGATTTAGTGTAACTCTTTTTTTTTTTTTTTTTTTTT